GTGACGTTGTACTCATTCCGGCAGAAGTTCTGACTCTTGGTCCTGGACAGAGAAACGAAGACGTGACACGGCTCAGAGCTCGTCAATAACACGAGTCGATAAATCCAAGCCGAGCGTGACTTACTTCACTTTGAAGGAGCAGAACTGCGTGTTTCCAATGATGTCCCAGATCACCTGCAGGGGGCGATCACACACATCCCGTCATCCTTACACTGATGCACATTACTGCTGCCTCGGTTTCTTTTTATGATTTTATTTAATTATTCACTGAACTTTGAGAGACTTCACCATTAGACTTACTATTTATTTCATTTTATCGTGTGAATAATTTATTTTAGCACTTTTCTGCTTACTATTTTAGTGTTGCGTGCTGAGCTTTTGTTAAGTCTGACTACAGTTCGTCTTTTTCCTCCATGTGGAGCCTGATGATCTTTACGACACACGGAGAAGAGAATGATGTGTAACTGTGGCCGAAGTGAGGTCCACGCAGGTCTGTGACCGACTCCGCTTTGCTTCATGATGTAGAGATCGGAGTGTTTGCTGGAAAACTAAAAAACTTTAAAACTGATTTTATTTAATGGAATTTGGCGTGACCGGAATAGCCGGCTAGCATTTAGCCTGGTGATGTGTTTAAACGCGTATTTTATCTCCGGATAAATGAGTACAGTTCAGCTCATGGTTCCTTTAAACTCCGGAGCTCTCACCGGTCAGCTAGCGTTAGCACGCAGAGCTAACAGCGCTTCTCGGCGGCTTTAAAAGAGCTCGTGACACTTACGTCGTCGTGCTGCATTTCCGGGTCCTCTCAGAGCGGGTCGGCTCGTCAGATATAATAAAATTAAATAAGTTCCGATCACGGCGTGAGGCTTTTTCAGCAGACCTGGAACCACATGGACGATCAGGGCGACACCATCTGTGTTTGGACAGAAATCGCATCCGGAGTGACGTCACCCGGAAGAAACATCGCGAGACTTCGAGATGTAACGTGTGTTGTAGATGTTATTATTACTTAGCGCGTGCATTCGTGTAAAATGGCGTGATTGGGCTGCTGCTGAATACAGATGATTGAACAGAGATTAAAAGCGGAAAGCACTGGAAACAGAGAAGCCTCCATCAGCATGCACCCGGCCAGGTGGAGAACTTCATCTACACCTCCCATCTCCCGTACAACCACAACTAGAAGTTCCACTCGTGACAGGAAACACTTAAACACATCACCGAGACGTTACTGGTGGAGCTCAGCTTGACTTCAACATTTAGGTGGAGGTCGCTGGGTTGATGGGTCAGTGCAGTCAGACTCTGGGGAGTCAGCTGGCCTGCTGTGTGCTGAGTTCACTGACCCACTTCTGCTCTCAAACAAAATGACTCCTGTTTCTCTGTGAACCCTAAAGCAGATGTTTTTGCTCTGTGGTGCATTCAGGTTCACATGATTGTGGTTAAAGAGTTGTTGTGTAGCCTGTAAAGGTGTTTGTAAGTAAAGGCCACCAGACTGGGAGGTGACACCTAACCCACCACCCACTCCGAGTCTGTGGCTGAGCTGTCATTCAAAAACATTGACTGGGATTCTGTTTATGTGTATTTATCATTAAATAACTGAGACAAAACAAAACGACAGCACCGACAGTAAAAAGCATGTTTACAACTAAAGAAAGTGTCACAACTAAAACAATTAAACTATTACTACAAACATGTTCAAGCACAAAATCTGAAATAGAACTGTGTAGAGTAGAACATCACTGCAGGCACTTCCTGATCAGCGATGATATGGAACATTGATCAAAGCTCGGCATCTCACTACCAGCTTAAATCTCACAAATACTTCTTGTCAAGGTCAGACGGGCTGAGGCGCATGCGTAACAAGAAGGCTGCACCTTACACGGATAGTCCGTGAACGCACCAATCATCATACTTCTTGAACAAGAAGGATCATACTACAGCGCACGCGCTCTGAGGCTTTATGGAGCGGCTCCAGCGCTCTGAGTGACG